TAGTAACGGTACAATGTAGTGGTTGTTTTGTACCTTGGTAACGGTACAATGTAGTAGTTGTTTTGTACCTTGGTAACGGTACAATGTAGTGGTTGTTTTGTACCTTGGTAACGGTACAATGTAGTAGTTGTTTTTTACCTTAATGACGGTACAATGTAGTGGTTGTTTTTTACCTTAGTAACGGTACAATGTAGTGGTTGTTTTGTACCTTAGTAACGGTACAATGTAGTGGTTGTTTTTTACCTTGTTATTGTGAGAATTTGAAACTGAGACAAAATTTTTGTACTCTTGACAACTGTTTGTCTAATGTGAGAATGACGCCTGAATTTAAGACAACGTTTTCTACGTGTACCTTGTGTTTCTTTGGTGATACTATAACTGGACTTTAATACGTTAACATCTGTTACGATGATCAGAAACGTAAAAACAAAAGTCATTTAAATATTTCAAAAATCAATTTTGATAAATAAAATGAAACTTTTCAAGCATTTTAAATCTTTTAGTGAATCCGTTTTTGTTAGTTATAATTTTTGGTGTTTTTATCCAGAACCCAAGACACGTGTTCCTTTGACATTAATCAAGGGAGAACCAAACTCCAATTATATCAATGCCAACTTTGTGAGGGTAAGTGTTTATGTGTTCTTCTGGAGAGAACCAAACTCCAGTTATATCAATGCCAATTAAATGAGGGTAAGTGTTTATGTGTTCTTCTGGAGAGAACCAAACTCCAGTTATATCAATGCCAACTTTGTGAGGGTAAGTGTGTATGTGTTCTTCTGGGGAGAACCAAAATCAATTACATCAATGCCAACTTTTTGATTGTAAGTGTTTATCTGTTTGTTTAACATCTATTTCAGGAAAAACAAACTTGAAATACAACAGTAGAATATAGGTCCTTTACATACAATCTTATATTCCAGCAGTCTACTTTTAACCAATTGATAATGACTGTTTTTTTTTCAAACAAATTCTTCTCGATTTCATAGATCCATTTTGATGTAACATATTTGAGATAATAAGTTTACCTCCAATATGAATAAATAATCAACACGAAAAAAGGATTCTTTTTTTTACTTTACTTTTGTAAATTTTCTTCAGAAAATAAAAATGTTTGAATATATTTAACAGTTAGAATTAACCTCTAATTGTAGTCCTCAATATTCACACACCATTCTCAATGTAATTTATCATTTCAATGAAAACAAAAACTTTCCTTGATAACTTTGGAACTTTATTAAAACTTGTAGTATTTTTGTGAGGAATCTAACCCAGGTATTATGATATATTTCAGAAACTTCAAGTTATCGATCCAACAGTAATGTGTTCAGGTCTTTATAAAAAATAATGTATACTTTTGTCAAATTTTAAAACACATCCAGAATTACTGATAATACCATTTAGTAAATATTACATTGTTGGTCAAAGAGCCACAGTCTCAGGAAAGATGAATTATAAGTTTTAATACTACCAGCTCACGACTTGCAACCTTCGTCAAAACTCCGTGATTTAATAAGAAAAACGGTCGAAGAGAGGTTAATACGACTTAAAAGAGATTAATATGATTAAATAGACATCAATTAGATTAATGAGAGATTAATATGATTAAATAGATCTTAATATGATTATATAGAGATTAATGAGATTAAACAGATATTAATATGATTATATAGAGATTAATATGATTAAATAGATATTAATGAGATTAATATGATTATATTGAGATTATTATAATTAAATAGATCTTAATGTGAATATATAGAAATTAATATGATTAAATAGACATCAATTAGATTAATGAGAGATTAATATGATTAAATATATATTAATGAGAGATTAATATAATTAAATAGATCTTAATATGGTTATATAGAGATTAATATGAATAAATAGATCTTAATATGGTTATATAGAGATTAATATGATTAAATAGATATTAATGAGAGATAATTATAAT